TATGACATTTTTAATCATGAACTTGTACTATATTTTTTTTCCTGGGTTCATGTGTTGTAACTTACTGATATGTCATTTTTTCTTGGGTTTCTGTACTTCCTAATAGCATAAACCAATCCTTTCAGAGACTCACAAACTTATTAGAGAAGCAATAATAAAGGTTCCTTTATGCCTTGAATAGTGTACTGAATAAGCATAAACGTTAGTGTTCATGGCTAAACCAGAAGTTCACATTCAGTGTTCAGTTTAGTCTACAGAACAGAACCTATTCTAGCTATACCTTCTGAAACCGTATGACATGACTGACCTATATTGAGCAGTTGCAACTTTCTTTGTTTATGGTCAAATATAGAAATTAGACTGCTACATGATTCAGTAGCACTTGATGTGTCTTCTGCCATATATATGAATACAGAATTACCAAAGAGTGTGCAGACTTCAGATTTAGTCGTTCTGCAACTGCAGAGAGGGAGAAATAAATACTTCTGACAGAATACTGCAAAAGAGGCATGCATATATTTAAAAGCAGTTACCAGACATCACAAAGTAAATTCATACCTCTAATGAGCAAGTAAAGTAGAAATACCTTCAAAAGTTCACTTTGGGGAAGAAGACTGCCCATTTCTGTCCCTCTTATGAAAACATTCTTAACAGGCAGCTTGGGTATCTGCTATCCTACTTGATTCAGTCAAGGAGGTTCTAGCTTTAAACTACCTTACATTTCATCAAACAATAGTTCAACTTAATCCAGTTTTACCGGGCAGTGTAGCAAATCAGAGAGCAGCTTTACAGTTTGTTTCAGCTGCCCTAAGTGAAAACTGTTGCTGAAAAATCATCCTTCCCTAATAACATACTGGTAACCTGCTCTTTATACTGGTACCTGAAAATTTGTTACCATGTAAGTAGGTCACTTCACTGGAAGCTGTAGTCTTTATTTTTCACATGAATCACCAAAACAACTTGATTTACCATGTACAGCGGAAAAACACAGCTGAAGCAAGGATGAAACTATTCTATTTAGTAACTGAGTGCCTTAACTGTCTTACTGTGATTCTGAAACCACAGTCTCTTAAGTCTAAACAAACCAGATTCTCACACCAAGTGTTACAACTTTCATCTTAAAAGACAAGATCTTCTTGACCATCTTTAACTAACCATATTTTAAAGTTTTTATGATACAGAGATGTATTAATGTACTAGAGTACTAATCATTGAAAGAAATCTTCCAATGACTTGCTCTGGGGTAAAACCGTGTAAACACCTGGGAAAAATGGACTGTGTTGAAGTGATCCAATATCCTTGGAGCTATTTAGCAGCACAAACACCTGTTTTCACACTGCAGGGCAAATGTAGACTAAGCTATGCTCCACAGTCCTGGTCACTGACTGCTCCATCCTGAATGTGGAGAAGATGGCCTTTGTGATACATCATATAAGCGGGGCCCCCAAAGTCTAGGTTGGAGAATTAACTGAGGAGCAATGCAGCTCTGCTTTTTCTTGTGTGCCTTGATTTCCAGAAGAAAACAAATGTCTGGGAGGAGATTCAGTTTCATTCCGTCACGCTTTCAAAACCTAACCACGTATGAATCCAGGTGCCAGGAATGCAGGACTTACCATGGAATACACTTGTCATATATGTACACATTGTTCATAGCAACCACTGGATTGTTTTGTTTTGCCAGGATCTAAAGCCAAGGTAGCTTGGTTATCATAAGAAAGACATTTTTAGGTAACCTGATTTCTTTTTTTTTCTTTTTTTTTTTTTTGAGAATGGAGACTAACAGTTTCCAGTCTCAGACTTTTAAAACCTTTTGAATTTGGGCAATTAGCCCAAATCTCTGCTAGCTACTGTACTAGCTACTATCCTGTTCACAAACTTCTATTATTGGGTATTCTGGATAATACACTTATGTTGGACACACTAAATAAACATGGGTTTACATATTACTGGGTTTTATTATTACTTCTATTCAGTTTGAAGAAAAGAAATACATTTCCTTTTCAGTGATTGTATACCCCAAATGCTGTAAGAAATAAGGCCTTTCTGTTAATTTCATGTTACAGCATGATAAAAGTGAAAGCAGAAGTCCAATCTGGAGGGGGTGTTTTTTAACATTTTATGGTTATATATAAGCATTATCCTAAAAAAGTTATTATTGCTTAATAATGTTAAATTGAGTGCCTGAGGTGGCTTAAAAATTCATCCATGTAGTGTCCAAACTGAAAAGAAATTCCTTTTACAAATTGTAGAAAAAACCCCCCAACAACAAACAATTTTTAAAGAGCTATAATACAGGTCAGAAAACATTAATTTGTAGAAAAAAATAAAACTATTTCTACAAATTTTGCTTGGAGCATTTCTCAGATTAAACTGGAGTAACGTTGGAATAGATGCATATTTCACAGAATGGTAGTGTTCTCCTAAAAGCTCACTGCCCATTCTGGGATGGGAAAAACTCATCTAACACTGTATGCTGAGCTCTGTACTGTTTAGATGGCAATTAGAGAACCCAAAATGTTTAAGTAAGGAACATTTCAGTGCATAGCTCCCTAGTGAGCAAAATCCTTGTACTGCTTCTGGATTTGCCACACAGTTAGGCTTTTGAGGAGTGCTTTTGGGTAAGTGAACCACTTTTAAAACCAGCCATCAGTACAGAGAAATTTGAGTAACTGCATTTAAAATAAATACCCTCTCTTTATGAATGAAGTCCTGTTTAATGTCTCCAGTTATTTATAAACCTAGATGTTTTTACCAGAAAATTATGTACTAAAACTACAGTTACTTCACTACACACATAAGAATAAAATTCAGAGATTTGTTTTCCCACAGCATGACACAGTTACAAGGCATTTGTTTTCAAAAGCAGTGCTAAATGTGATGTTTTCATTTCTGGTTAAAGAACTGCATGCTAGAGAGATTTCTTTATAGTAATAAGGAGCCATCTTCTTACATACCGCTGCTCGTATTAACCATGGCTGTTTGCTTTTATTAACAAGAGTGCTATGTGGGCTAACATAAACGAGAGGTTACTTAACAGAATATTTTGAGATATGAAGACCACCTATAAATTCACCCTGCAGATGCCCTGTCAGTCAAGACTAGAGGCTTTGTTTCCAAAGCGTATCTGCAGGTGCATGGCTCAGTACACAAGCGCATGCAGTGTTCTGCTCCCAAGGCCACCTCAGTTTTCTCCATAGCCAAATGCCAGCACAGCCTGTGGCCTGGCTGGAAGAATTCTAAGGGGATGGAAAAGAGGGTGATAGTGAACATACCTGTGGGTAACACCTGACAGAGCTTACGTTACGCCTAAATAACCTCTCTTTTTATCTTTGAGTGGTAATACACTTGTGCCTTCACATTTGAATCTAAGCAGTTACATCACACACCTGTAATAACCTGGAGATGGGAAGCTAAGTTGTTTCTGCAAATAACTAACAATTGTTTTAATGACAGCTACTCAACTAAGCATTTACAACATTTCTTAGTGAAGGTATGGCTAAAGATCCACAGACGTGTGAAAAATGTCTAGAATTGACACACTTCTCAGCAAGCCACTGAAGTATCTCCAGCTCTGGTGAAATGTCCTACTTCAAGGCCTTGATTCAGTCTTTTGACTATTCCTCTCCTTTTAAGGAGAGGTTGTCTAGAGTTTTGAGCAAACCTAATGTAGCAGAAAATGTCTTTATCCATGGCAGGGCACTGGAATAGATGTCTTTACCCATGGCAGGGTGTTGGAACTATATGATCCTGTCTTTACAGGTCCCTTCCAATCCAAACCACTCCACGATCATTCTATGATTCAGTGTGGCAGCTACTGACACAAGCAACTTTGAGTACTATCTGAATAGTCCTTCCAAGTGAAGAAGTCATTTTGATAGAGAGGGTCTGAATGACAGCTTCACCTTTAGAGGTACGACGCTTAAGGATGAAGGCATGTAAAGCTGCTCTGGCTACAGTGAACTTTGAAAGCCATGATGGAAGGAATACAGTGACATTGTCTGGGAAACTAGAGATCAGGTCAGGAAAGCGAACGCCCAATTAGAACTGAGTCTTGCTAGGGATGTCAAAGACAACAGGAAGGGCTTCTATAGGTATGTCACAAACAAAAGGCAGATTAGGGATAATGTGGTCTCTCTCTGGAAACTAATGGAAGAACTGGCTATACTGGATTTGGAGAAGGCTGAGATTCTCAATGACTTATTTGCCTCAGTCTTCACTGGCAAATACTCAGACCACACCACTCAAGTCTTGGAAGGCAGACACAGGGATTGTGAGAATGAATAAGACCCCAGGCCCACTGTAGGAGAGGATCAGGTTCAAGATCATCTTAGGAACGTGAATGCGCACAAGTCCATGGGACCTGATGGAATCCACCTGTGGGTCCTGAAGGAGCTGGCGAATGAAGTTGCTAAGCGACTGTCCACCATATCTGAAAAATCATGGCAGCCAGGTGAAGTTCCTGATGACTGGAAAAAGGCAAATATAACTCCCATTTTCAAGAAGGGGAAAATGGATGACCCAGAGAATTACAGACCAGTCAGTCTCACCCTTGTGCCTGGCAAAATCTTGGAGCAGATTCTCCTGGAGGGCATGCTAAGGCACATGAAAAACAACAAGGTGCTTGGTGACAGCCAGCATGGCTTCACTAAAGGGAAATCCTGCCTGACCAATTTGGTGGCCTTCTATGATGGGCCTACGGAGCTGATCGATAAGGGTAGAGCAGTTGACATCATCTATCTGGACTTGTGCAAAGCTTTTGATGCTGCCCTGCATGACATCCTTGTCTCTAAACAAGGTCTAGGTTCGATACAAGGAAGAAGTTCTTTACTGTGAGGGTGGTGAGGCACTGGAATGGGTTGACCAGGGAACCTGAGAATGCTCCATCCCTGGCAGCGTTCAAGGCCAGGTTGGACAGAGCCTTGGGTGAGATGGTTTAGTGTGAGGTGTCCCTGCCTCCCTGCAGGGGGGCTGGAATCTTAAGGTCCTTTCCAACCCAAATAATTTTATGATTCTACGGATCTACAGGACTTCTCAAAAGTATTATATCAGAATTATCTGCCTAAATCTGTCCCACTCCTTCTATGGAAATAACTGCTGCCACTTTCATAGAATGATGCAGTGTGGGGAACACTGAATACATCTGTTGCCCCTGAAGGGACCACATTATAAGTTGCTTTAGGCCATTTTGTGAAAAATCAGTAAAAATATGACAGAAGAAGATTCACAAGGAGATTGCTGTCACGGATAGCCATCCTTATAGTTGCCTTCCTCTTGTGCCGATTTCATCAAGACTGTATTTCATGACAAAATAAAAACCACATCCAGCAGCAACCAAGAGCTTTCTCAATAGACAAGGAAATACAAAGCACTGCAGGTTGCTGCAAAGCATCTGCAAGATTTCAACAAAGTGCTGACTCATCATTCTGAGAAATCTGCTGGAATCTAACCACACTAGGAGTACATTCTAAAAAGATCATTGACCTGCACACTGAAGCCCACTGGGGATGAAGTCTAAAAAATTAAATCCACTTGGAAATTAGTCCCCACTGATCCCTCCACACACAAATGAAGTGGGAGATGATAAAGAACACTGGCACTGATAACACAGATGTGACTGCTCCAGTTAGGGAATCCATGACTCGCATAATGCAGAACCGCCTCTCCAGATAAGCAGATGAGATAAAAACACAACACGAAAAGAACATTCCCATAGATTCTGCACACCAAGTACAGAGGAAGAAAAAGCACGATCAAACACTGGGCAGCCATGATGGTAAAACTAAGTATTCAGTCCTGATTGTCAGGGTGGAGGCATATCAACATTACCTTAATTTTTCTACGATCTGGTACTCAAATATAAAACTAAAAAAAATAATAAATTAAAAATTTACTAGTATTTTAAAGGTGTGCCTCAAAACAGGAAGTTGAACATTATTTTTCTGTTAGCTGCTACTTGCGAAATTGCTCTATAGAAATAAAATTAAGGTATTGTATGTAAAATTAAAAAAAATAATGTCCTTTCTGTAGCTGTAGTATAAATTAAAACTGTGGTATTAACTATTAATTATAGGTAATGCTTGAAAAAACATTTCTCATTAAAATGGCTTTACAAATATTAACTTTTTCCCTTAGTTCTGAGATAAACCCGACTTCATAAACCATGTTTGGTGTTTTCACTGTTACTTTTCTATAGCACCAACATTATCTGCAGAATTGAGGGCCTTCCTTGAAGAGCATTAATTCTCTGACCTCATCCTCTCAAAAATATTTCACACACAAACCAACAAAGTGCTGTTTAATAAACTAAAACGGATAGGAATAGTGGGCTAAATCTTTTGATCCAGCAGAGCTTCACTTGGCATGTATTTGGTAAGGATTATCATTAATTTACTGAAATCCCATTCTGACTCAGTTCTGGAATAGCTGGGAGCTAGACTGGTCCACAAAGTAATCTGAAATCACCTAAGGGATATTTTAATTTAAAACTGTCATCAGCAGATTCCTCATGACAAAAGTGTGCTGGAATGTAATGGTTCTCTATTTAGAAATCCCTTCCTCTAACCTTCCTCTCACTTAAGGGAAAGCAAAGGACCAACATTATCAATTTTATACCAGATTACAATTTCTTCTGTACTCCAGGGAATATAAACTAACAGTTTAGGACATTTGTTTTAAATGTGGAGTTATGAATAGAAAAATTAGGGACTACTTGTCTGTACCAAAAGCTCTGAGATATCAGGCTGTTTCCAAGAATTTCACTGGCTCGTGAAACTACAGCAAAGTTGAGGCAAACTTGTGATAAGCAAATAATAGCTATTTTTAGTTTGCAAGAAATACTGGAAACTACAGGAAAAAACTTCTTACCAAAACATTTGATGTGCAAAGTAAATGTTACTTTTTTGCCACAAAACCATTAAGGATAAAAATATTTTTTTGCCAGACCACACTTTCATTTACAGAAACATGGAGTGGTGGCGAGCACACGCAAGCTCACCACAGTAGAGTACTGCTAGTATGTTTAGCACGAATGCTGTCACTGTGGTGCAGATCCATTTTCTTCCTTAACCTCAGGCACGTTAAGATGCCAAAAATTCCCTTTATAGTTAATGGAGAGTAACAAGCATCTCTAGCAAATGACTCACTCCATCCAAAATCTGAATTGCTTTTTAGAGATGCCACTTCCTCCATGCACTACTAAGGAAAGCTGATCTAACCAAGTTCCTAATTTAGGTGCCCTAATTTGTAGGCTAAGTTTAGGAAGACTATCTGGGCACACAGATTATTTGTAATGAACCATAAAAACTCAAGGGAATCAGTGCTAACAATGCATTTAGGTTCCTATATATTTTAAACAGAAATGACCTCACCTATATACTTCTTTTTTTTTTTTTCTACCTTTTGAGAAGACTTTTGGGCCACTATATGGACAATGGAAGATGTTTTTATGTTACCATAACCTAAACATTTAATTTGCTAGTGACCAACTCTTTGATGTTTTTTTTTCACAACTGAAAAGTCAAATCCTGCATATACAGAGAAAACATTATAATTTTTCATCTGCAAAAGTATAATTTACCATTGAAGTTTTTCTTATATCAAATCTAGGAAAATATTAAAAACCACTTGATTCTGGACTAAAAAAAGATCTATTCTTACTGCATAAAAGTTAAACCTAGTGAAAAATATCTTGTCAGGAAATATGAATGAATATTTCAGTTTATTTATAAATGCACTGATTTATAGATAGATTTACTTGGACAATAAGCATTTTCAGGTATTCCTCAAGGGATAATGAATACTACCAGAAACTATCAAAACACTCTGAATAGATACGTATGTAAGACAGCATGCAATTTATTTAGCTGAGTCCTAGTTTTTCTATTGTCATTGTTTCCACAGATTTGTTGGGAAAAACCCTGTATTTTTCATGTAATTGCTTCATAATACAATCACATTAATATTTCATAATTTTAATTGTGTGCATGTCCTAAACCAAGATACCAAGGATGCTGGAGAGGGACTCTTCACTAGGGACTATAGTGATAGGACAAGGGGTAATGTGTTTAAACTTAAACAGGGGAAGTTTCAGTTGGATATAAGGAAGAAGTTCTTTAATGTAAGGGTAGTGAGGCACTGGAATGGGTTGCCCAGGGAAGCTGCGAATGCTCCATCCCTGGCAGTGTTCAAGGCCAGGCTGGATAGAGCCTTGGGTGGCACGGTTTAATGGGAGGTGTCCCTGCTCATGGGAGGGGGGTTGGAACTAGATGATCTTAAGGTCCTTTCCAACCCTAACTATTCTATGTTTCTATGATTCTATACCACATAAACAGCTAATAGTTAAAATGCTTATTCTTTTGCAGTGCAGTGTATCCATCAACTTCCTTGAAAATCAAGGGGCAGATTATAACAGTTGGCAACCACGTTAAACAGTTTATGAAGTTGTACGATGATAGGAAGATGCTGAGTGTCCAGAGTTCTGACAGCTATATATAACATCCAATCAGAGTCTCTACTAGAGGAAGTTTGGATGAGTTATTCCCAAAATACCCTTTGCTGGTGTACCAGTCTATTATTTTTCTCTGACTTTATTTCTTTATTTTTACTTTTGTACATCTGGTGTGTCATTCTCCTTCTACTCTTCTGAGCTTTCATCTATTTCACGAGACCTCCTGTCAACTTCAAACTCAGTGTAAACGTGACTGTCACTGCTGCTTTTCCATACTTAAAGCCTCTTTTTCCTGACAGTATGAGGGAAATCACAGACGCTAGAGTTACAGCATAAAGATCCGATTTAGTTAACAATGGAGTTTCAACATCTCCTACTTCATGGCCAACAAAATAATTGTTTTCTAATGATAAACACATAAGTGATTTTATTTTCATTCTAAAAATAAAGATACAGTGATTTTAATTACCTGACATCTTTTTCAAGTTGTGTAATACGTTCTTTCTGTCGACTTATTTGAGAATCTCTCTGTTGCACAGTTTCAATGAGATATTTGTGTGGTTGTTGTACTTGATTCAACAAAGAATTTGCTCTGTCAAGCTGCCAAAAAAATAAAAGAAGTATTACTACTATAATTGTTGTAACTGATAAAGCACAATTACTTGATTACTGCATATTATTGATTATTACCAACTGCACAATAATACAGAACCCAAACCTGTTATTTAAGAACAAAATTACCCTCAAATTACTTTTAATACTGTATCCTCTTGCTTTTCAGTTGTAATTACACAGTATTTTCACCGCAATCATGCTACCACTTTCTACACTTCCTAATCTGCATTTTCAAGAGTTTTAATATAACAATTTTGACTTATGAAAAAGGTTAGTATAGACAAGGCCTCTGTTTGTTCAGCTTATTGACTACAAGTGACTTTTTCAAAACAGTATACTATTAAAATGGAATTTTCAGCTTGGAAATTGAACAGAAATTGAACTGGAAAAAACTACAGCAATACTGGAAGTCCCCTGTCCTCTAATCATTTACTGTATATGAAAAGTGAAATCCAACAGAATGTTTACAAGAGTAGTATGAAATAGCTGTCATACCTGTAAGAAGGAAATAAATTTTACTAGCTCTATTCCCTGAGAAAATTAGGACCACTAGATTTAAAAAGCTTGCAGGATATGGTTGTCATCTTGAGCAATATAACAGAATCATTCTCTAAAATATGTAGAGAATTAAGATCACACATCAAGATTTAGCAGTTTCAGCAGCTAGACTGCATAAAAGTCAAGACTACCTACTAGATTCCTTAAAAAAGAAATAAAAATATTTCAAAGTAGAGGTACAAATAGGTGTAATGAAATTAATTAAATGGAAAATGGTTAAGTTTTCCAATTAGTTTATAAAATTTCTCAATATATTAAATGATCTGCATTTGTCCAATCAGACTCAGGAATCAGCTGTCCTATTTTGTTTTGTTGCAAACAAGCAGGAGAAAAAAACCACCCCTCCAATAGAACTAGCCCATTTAATATTTTAGGACTTTTCCTAAAATCAGATTTTTCTCCTATTCACAATTCTCAAAACATAAGACTGTGTTTCCTTCTTTCTCTGACTATATTACCTTTTTAGTGCAGTTTTACCTCTGCCTTGTATACTCATCAAATATGCAACTACCTTACAGAGTAACGGTTCATATTTATTAAAAAACAAAATATAGACAAAACTTTGCTTGCTCACCTTACTGGCCTTACTAAAAGGGAAGTTAACTCCACCTCATGTTTTAAAAAGTGAAATAAGAGGCAGTAACATTGCACTTCTTCAAATTAATGCAGAACTATAGGTATTACTTAAACACATGATTTCCTTCAGGAAATACCTATTTTAGTGCACAATGAAATTCCAAGTTTATTGTAGAAAAGTAAAAAATAGAGGCAATCACCTTCTTCAAGAATATAAATATCTTTATTGATAACTAATTAAAAAGTTATTATTTTTCTAAGAGTACAAACTATTAAAAAAGATAGGAAGGAAGACAATAGAGAATCTTTACATGACAAAAAGATAATTCCAAGACATGGAGTACTGATCTCTAGGATGGTCTAAAAACTGCAGAATCAGACCTTGAGGCTGTCATTATAGGAGAAAATTAATCCAACTCATCTTGTTTGGAATCCTGGTTTTGATAGCACAAAAACTTTCAAAGCTCCTCACTGTTCTCACTGATAAATAGTTCAGTGGGAAAATGAGGTGGTGTAAGCTTGGTTTCATGCTACTAAATCCTCTCTTAACTTCTGACTTCACCAGCTACAAACCATGCTGTTGTAATGTAAAAAGGCTATCCCTTCTCTCTCCATTGTCGTGCTTTGCTGTCTGTTTGACTTCATAAACTTAAAAGAGGCTGTCATGAAATTGTAATCAATTAAGCATTACATGAATTTAATGGATCAATTTTACTTATACACACATATAAACTAAACATTATCCTTGAGCAAAAGCACTATTGTTTTGAAAGCAACTTTGACTTCTTTCTGCCTTAATGTACAAGATTTCCTTAAGTACTTCTGTGTCATTCTTTTAAGTGATAAATCTAATACCTTGCAACTAGACATAGAATCATGCAATAGTTAGGGCTGGAAAAGACCTTAAGATCATCTAGTTCCAACCCTCTGCCATGGGCAGGGCCACCTCACACTAAACCATGTCACCGAAGGCTCTGTCCTACCTGGCCTTGAACACTGACAGGCATGGAACATTCCCTGATGGGACATCTCTACCAAGTTGAAAGATTTCATCATTGTTAGTTTGATCTATACTGTCTCATTCAGAGTGAGATATAAAGTCCTTTTTGTAAAAGTTTCAACTGAGGCTTACAAAAAGCATAAATACAATGTCTTGATGAAGGCTCAAAAAAGTAATTCAATAGCAAGCCAAATGTATCAGCTTAGTAAATTTCTTTACTTAGGATATCGCTTTTACTGCATACTGACTCAATATTTGCTTTTTAAGTCAGCCAAAGAACATATTAGCCTTCTAGGCACAAGAGAGTGTCTATCCATCAGTTCTGGCACTGGGCAAAAGTGAAACTCTGCAAAGTGAATTCATTCCAAAATTTAGATTGGACACTAACTGTAGCGATTGCAGATCACTACTTTGCAGAAGCTGACATATAGTCTTCTACTTACTTAAACTGGGAGTAATATTAAGTGAATCACAGAGGCAATAATCTTATTATCAGTAGATGAGTATCTTGGATCAGGTAATGAGAATTTCTTTATTTTACTCTAGACATGGTCAACAAACCTGTAGTATGAAGTAAGTCTCAATACCTACTTAAAAATTGCAGGTCATTGCTATACAAACCAACAGAAAGAGGACTTTGAAGGAAATTTCTTTTCTAATGCTCTATCATGACCTGAAAATAGATAGGATCCTGCAGTTAAATAAAGCCTCACAAACTATAATGGGACTGGCAAGTTTTTTTGCAGTAGCTGAGCTTCCACGGGGTTCCAACTTTCAAGCAGGCACACTATCAGACTTTCCATGAAATGAATGAAATTAAGGAGAAGTCAATATTTTCTTCATGGTAATAATACTGGACTTTTCCAGAAGATCAATATGACTTCTTTCTGTAAAGCTCAACAGCAATTGGTTGTGGACAGTCCAGAAAAAGAATCTCAGAAAGAACATCCACTGTAGTTATTGCAATCTCTTTCTTTTCTTCCCTTCTTTAAAGGATTTAAAAAAAAGTTGTATGATAAATACTGCAGTGAAATAGCAGCATTGAATGTAAGTTCAAAAGAATCATAGAATAGTTAGGGTTGTAAAGGACCTTAAGATCATCTAGTTCCAACCCTGCTGAATGGGCAGGGGTGCCTCACACCGGACCATGTCACCCAAGGCTCTTTCCAACCTGGCCTTGAACAGTTCCAGGGATGGAGCATTTACCACTTTTTCAGGCAACCTGCTCCAGTGCCTCACCACTCTCACAGAATAAAGAAAAGTTGGTCCAATCACTTTGGCATCAACTCTCAATCCATGTGCTAGATTTCATCCAAGTGACTGAACAAACTGTCAATCAAAAATTAATGGGCTACCTGAGTGAGATGTAGTCTACAAGGTCTCTGTTTTGCTCTTAAAAAAAAGAAAGACAGATGATAGCTTAGAGTAGAAGCCTGTCTTAGCTCAGGGGATGCAGTAAAGTCAGCAAAGAGAAGTTTAAGAACTTTGACTATATAAAGAAAGATAATTGATAGCAATCAGTATAAAATATGAAATACAGAAAATTTACATGAGGAGCTACAACTTCAAGAGGAAAGTTGATACTTGCAGGGATAAAGCTCTTAGAAGGAAAAAAATGGGAGCAAATAAATCCTAGAAACAGTACAGCCCATTATGTAGAGATATGCTAAAACTTTATATAATGCTGAAGACAACATAGAAGTTTTTCGCTCTGTTTGGAAAGAAGTCAGATGATGGGCTTGTATAATGTGAGAATTATGAACGATATTCCAGTCTATTAATAAGAAGTGCAAACTCTTTGTGCACATATTGAAGGATGGTGAGCAGAACAGCTTAAGTAATTGTTTTAAGAATAAATGGCCTATAATCACATAGAAAAGTAAAAAAAAGGAAGAAAGAAATCTTACGAAGCATTCAGACCTGGACACCAGATATGAGTTTAAAAGAAAGCAGGTCTTAAAAATGTTTTACTTAACCTTAGGATTTTGATGGTAATAAGACTTAGTAGCTGTGCATTAGCTATGTGCAAGACATTTAACTTTATATGGGATGACACTCTGTTTTCAACTATACAGTTATATGATACAAGATCAAGAAAGGGCTACTTGACATCTCACAGGAAAACAAAAAATGATGTGAAGATGTTCTAGTGGAATTTTGCAGGAAATTGAACTAAGGTCACTGGTACTGACTCTTTCATCAGTGACCTAGAAGCAAATATAAAACAACTGAGGGCAAGAAGAAATGTACTGAAGTGGAAACCAGTAGATTTAAGTAGGAATAAAACATAGATTTTATTAACAATAGTGAAATAATAGTGATAGAGAAGAATACCAAGGATAACATTGGATTAATAAATCTCTGATGTCTTCAAGTCAAGAAGATTTGAAAGATATGCTTTAGTCATATATAAATTACTAGGATATACCTAAGGATCATGATAAATTGGCAGAAAAAACCTGAAACGTTTAAAAATTTCACTTGTTCACATACCTATCACTGAAATAATATATATAATCATATATATATATGCACATATAAAATATTTAAATTTACATTAATTTTATGTATGTGGAAACTGGCATTATTTGCACTGCGAACTACTGGATGTAGTTATCCTAATTTATAATTACCATGGCTTTAAAAATCAAACTGTTAACTGCATTCCTGAAACAGCCTACAAATTCGACAGCAGATAGAAATTCTAATAGCAAATCTAAAAGCTCTTTGGTTCTTAAGAGAAACATAGAAGAAAATTTAAAAAGATTTAAAAAAATTAGTTCACCCTAATTCTGGGAGATTTCAAGATGAGTTTTCCTTAGCATTTGTTTTCCATGTCAATGCAATATGTGATTTCAGGTATTATACACAGAATTTAAAAGATAATGGAATAAAACTCATTGTAACAAATAAAAAAAAATAATTTTCAATTTTTAAAAAAGCAGCTCATGTTAAATATTCCCTAGATTTGTATATTCAAAAGATTCAAGAACTGCGCAACATAGAAAAGGATTTACAGAAATACCTTCAAAAGTGATTTAGGAGAAGAGCTGTGTAAAATGAGGCATTCATTGAACAATTAACTATCAAACAGAACGAACTAGTTTAGCTAGCTGGTATTCAGAAATCAGAACGCTGTTTGTCTGGCTTACATTCCAGTTTAGCTGGTAAAATAATCCCTCTTTCAATCTTCATTTCAAAATACAATATAAATTACTTTGAAAACGTTTAGCATAGAGTTTTGGTTAATTATGACGCCGGCTTTTGACATCAAATAGACAATAAACACTGTTCAGAAAATATTTCATTTTATGAACAGCTGTTCTGCAATGTTTATAGTCTCTACAGATTTGATGTTTTTTTTTTGTAGCAGTAATTTACCTCTTGTGAAATCTGTGTTACTTGTTCCTTCTGATGTTCCAGATCTTTTACAAGCAACGAGTTTTGCTTTTCTAGCTGCAGTAACCTCCTTGCCAAGTGCACGCTGTGCCAATAAAAAGCAAACTCAAGTTGATTTTTTTCCAAAATATGCAAAAGAAATTCTCACATTTATACTTGATTGCCTTAATTTTTTCACCAGTGCTTAAATACTAATATATAAACTACATAGTGAAGCAAGCAGAATGGTCAAAGTTAGAAAAACAATGAAAATATTACAAATTTTAACAACACTGAAACAACATTCCCACAGTTATGCCATTGTAATATTTTTTACAAAGTAATTGCCTATATAAATTTTTGCTATATAACAATTGCAGAAATTATGTCAAATGTTTCAACTGATTATAAGCATTTATTTTTTAGCAACATCAGGGAATCACTGTAATTGGCTTGTCCTTAAATAATTAAACAAAATGCGCATTAGCCTTCCAGTATCTGAAGGGGACCTACAGGGATGCTGGGGGTGGACTCTTCATTAGGGACTGTAGTGATAGGACAAAGGGTAATGGGTTAAAACTTAAACTGGGGAAGTTTAGATTGGATATAAGGAGGAAATTCTTTCCTGTTAGGGTGGTGAGGCACTGGAATAGGCTGCCCAGGGAGGTTGTGAATGCTCCATCCCTGGTAGTGTTCAAGGCTAGGCTGGATGAAGCCTTGGGTGAGATGGTTTAGTGTGAGGTGTCCCTTCCCATGGCAGGGGGGGGTTGGAACTTGATGATCTTAAGGTCCTTTCCAACCCTAACTATTCTATGATTCTATGATTAATATAAATTTCGTATATTTTGTAGTGGAACACTGCAAAATGCCATATTTTAACATTTTCAAAACAGATGCAAAATTGTTTTGTCTGACTTTTACTATGGCAATAATTGTTGTTGTCACTTTATGAAAATAATCTCTCATGGAGATCCACAAATTAATTTACAAGTCAAGAGAAAGGACTACTGAGTTACTTAAACACCTTAGTTAAAAAATTAGATGCTCAACCTTTTGTATGTTTCATGCCCAAATTCACAAGTGTTTATCATCAGTTCCACAGCATAGTTCCATAGGGAACATAGGAAGGCTCAGCAGAAATTGCAGAGCCTATTTCCAGATATCTAACCTAGTCTTTCAGGCTGTTACTTATCACTGAGTCAATATGGTCTGTAGAGCCTGACTATATTCCAGTGAAATGGACTCCTAGATGGTAAAGTAGAATGTGCTCCAAACTCCACTGAATATATTGATTAGAATTAAACCAGTTATAGTGGGAGGTTAGGTGCCCAATCTCCATGTTAAACCTATGATTAGATGTCTAAATTGATGTATACTGTCATGAAGCCTGCATCTTTGTAGGATTCAGCAGCTTCGTGGCTTATTATCAAAATTGTTTCTATGGAATTTATCCCTGTAACCATAATGTTTAGGTACTTTAGTCACCAATATATTTCACAACATAACATGGGAAATTCAGAGCTCTAAAATGAGGAAGATATACAGGGTAATACCACTATTTAGCGTGTCTTAACCACTGAACTAATGGCTCTCTACAACAATCTATCCTTCCATTCAAATGTGTGCCATTTTTCAGGAACACTACACTGAAGAAAAGAAGTCATTCCAATGCAGATCTTAGACTTCCAATGCATACCGTCCATAAACTGCAAATGTAAGACTGTTGGTCTCCAAATAATGGCTATGAAAGTGTTAACCAGCTCTTGACCATGATACTGTACATATAAGAGTGTAAGCAGTCTAAAGGAGACCAACAGAGAGATTCTATTTATCCTTAAGGTGAGGTTTAGTGTGTAGAGCTAGATGAGTGTACAAACTTTCTCTGAAAATTTGACCAGTCATAACCTCCACCTTCTCCTCCTTAAAAGGAATACACTTTCAGACTGGGCAGAAGTCTTAATATTCACCTCTGTTATAAACCTACCCTTCCATACAATCTTTTACTTTCACCTTGTATGACGGCAATCCTTGAATTCTCAATAGCATTCACTATGAGGCTGGTTTCTCAGTTCCTCCTACAAGGAGCATTAGACTATGTAAAAAATAACTGACAAAAAGAAATTAATTCTCCAAGCTAATTATTTGGATTTTTATTTAGGAGATACAAGATGTGTATTAAGAGTCCATCTAGTGAAAAAGAAATTAAACACTTCTCTAACTAGTTAGGGATCTTATACATTAGCTATTAGAGTGTGAGGGGAAACTGATACCTTCTCATAGCAACGTTGGGAATGTAGCCTGTTATAATTTTCCCAGCTACAACTGTTCAGTGAACTTGACCTGAATTTGCAGGTATTTAAGGAAAAACACAAGGATGTCTTTCAAGTATGCTTGTCAATATGTTTTTTGACTAGTTTAAATAACAAGCAAAGGGACAAAGGGACTGATCTGCAAAGACATCTTATCCTGGAAAACTTTGATTCTGACTATACTAGAAAATTATGCAGTGCTCAATAATGTGATAATTTATTGTTAGCAAACCACTAGAGCATCCCTGGTAGTACTTTGGCATTTACTCATTAACACTCTTGTGAACAGTTCCTGAGCATAGCTGAAGAGTTAGTGTGGGCAAGTAAATCACTGCCAACACATAGCTCACATGCAGCTAACCTACACCGAGAATTTAGTTTTATGGAATTGGGCCATTTGGTCTTGATGCTTCAGGATGGTCCCAGGCTTACTACTATGGGTGTATGGTACCTACATCCAAAGTAATTAAATAGTTTCTGGCAATTATGCAGAAGTATACCTCTGTGCAGAGGTACAGACCCCACAATGTACTATGCTTGAATAGGTGGTTTTATACAGAGATCCAGAGACTGAAGTGCATTCTGTGAACTTACAAGAACTCTTCATTTAAGATCCCATCTGTCTGGAATTAAAGAGGAAGTAGTGGATTTCAAAAGATTTATTTTGTATGTAAATGATCTATACTGTATCTAATAAGGTCGGGTTCCAACTGAAACTCAGAGAAGTTCCCAAACTACTGACAGAGGAGGAAGGAACTGAAGTTCTAGGAAATAATGCTATAGAACTCTCAACAGTCTCCTAAAAGAGACATGCAACAGGCTTATGGAGGGATTTTTGCTGTCCTGCCCCCCCTCCCTTTTTTTTTTTTTTTTCCATTTTAAGCAATATAAAAAGAAATTTTACAAAGAAATAATCTGAAGAAGCTAAAGGGTATGAAAAAAAATTAAGCCATGCCAAAGTTAAAAACTACATACAATCTTTATGATTTTTGCCAGCAACAGTGCACAACAGGTCTAATCTGATTGACAAGCATACTGACATCAATTGAAAAACAAATATAAATGACAGAAGAAAGGTATGTAACCTATAAATCTTTGTTGCAAACATGAACAGACCATCATTTACCCTTAATTTTCATCAGTAACTTAGAATGGCTAGAGTTGGAAGGGACCTTAAAGATCATTGGAACCCCCCTGACAAGGCTGGGACACCTTCCACTAGACCACGTTGCTCAGAGCCCCATCCAGCCTGGCCTTGAACAGTGACAGGAATGGGACATCCACAGTTTCTCTGGGCAACCTGTGCCAGTGCCTCACCACCCTCACAATAAAGAATTTCTTCCCAGTTTAAAACCCTTCCCCCTTTCAGTATCACTACTTGCTCTTATAAAAATTCCTTCTCCAGCAAACCTGTAGGCCCCCTTTGGGTACTGGAAGGCTGCTACAAGGTCTCCTTGGAGCCTTCTTTTCATGTTAAACATTCTTTGTCATAGAGAAGGTGGCGGTTAAGAGGACAAAACCAACTAAACAAACTAGTACTTGTTGTTAAAAACAGCTACACAGAAGTGCATTTCCAGCTCCTGAATGCTAGGGATGTGCACTGTGAAGCTATGGTACATGTTCACCCTGTCTTTATACTCTTCTTTGTGTGTCTGCCAATGATGGTGGAGTTTCTCATTTTGGTAGAAGACAGTGTGGCCAAAGCCTACCATTACCACAAATTATGCAGTTGATTTTCGTGCATCTTAGGTTATGTTTTCTTTTTATACTATCTATACATACCCTTAACAACAACAGAAATTTCATTGTGGTCACACTTTAAAAATACTATACATAAATCCACATTCCCAGTGTTCCCAGTGATCCATTCAAATGTCACTGTTATTTCTTAAAGAATCTTATTTAAAAATTACTACGATCAAGTGGTCTGTTACTCAGCCTACACATCATTTTCATCTATTGATTAAATGGTATAGGTAAACTGAATAAATATAACTTGAATCAGATCCTGTATTTGTAAAGATGAAATAGCGATGCTCTGAAACTTCGGCTTTCCTAATTTACTGACAGATCTGGTTTTGTTACAACTACATACAATCAGTTTTAGGATATTAAAACCTTATTTGATATATTATCATATAAATGTAAACAATGTAACAAGTCTGTTTTTACAGCTGTTTAGTTTTATGCAACTAAAATTCATCCTTCTGAAAAGGCAATGAAAAAAAATCTTTAGATGACCTAGAAAAGTATGTATATGCCCATTTATATGCATAAGCCATATTAACAACAGGTCCTAGTCTTCATTCTATTCCTGTAAACTTAAGTCACTAAAAACTCTCTTTATGTTAATTAAACTGGCTGGATTCTAAGAAAAAACATGAAGCATCTATTTTCATTTACTTTATCTTGAAGAAGTAAATTCAGGAGGCACTTTCTACCTTTGCTTTAGTCGTCTTTTGGCTGTTGTAGGAACATTAGCGCCATACCCATATGAGAAGAGAACCCTTTCAGCTTCAACTTCATCTTCCACTGTAAAAAAATTTGCAGAAAGGTACAACTGAAGAACATAATTACAGTGCAAAAACTTAAAAACTTATAAGCTGTAACTTATAAACTTATAAACTATTTATAATTACATACACAGACAAACATTTTTCTAGAAGCTAGATTTTCAGTTGCAGTAACCTGGAATTGAGTGGAACTTCACAGCATCGATACAGTACCATAAATTAATTTCTTACAACAGTGGCAAGCTTTTCACTTTTTTTTTCTGATTAATATAAGACTTACGCAATATGAAAGTAAAAGACAAAAGTTCAGTGTCCTTGTATATTCATTCTATTGCAATAGTCACAAAATACACACTAATAGTATAGGTTTCATTCAGCAGTACAGGGTTAGGTTGCTCAGGACTTTTTCTCCTAAAGAATCCATTTTCTGTGCATACATGTGGAAGTAGAAGATAAAATTAGCGAGTGCTTAAGACAACTGGATAGAAGTGCAAGGTCCTACACCTGGGTAGGAGCAATCCCAGGCACAGCTACAGGCTGGGCAGAGAAGAGATTCAGAGCAGCCCTGTGGAGAAGGACTTCGGGGTGCTGGTCGATGAGAAAATGAACATGAGCTGGCTTCAGTGTGCGCTTGCAGCCCAGAAAGCCAACTGTGTCCTGGGCTGCATCAAAAGGAGTGTGACCAGCAGGTGGAAGGAGGTGATCCTGTCCCTCTACTCTGCTCTTGTGAGACCTCACCTGGAGTATTTTGTGCAGTTCTGGTGTCCTCAACATGAAAAGGACATGGAGCTGTTGGAACAAGTGCAGGGGAGGGCCACGAGAATGATCAGGGGACTGGAGCACCTCCAATATGAGGATAGGCTGAAGAAGTTGGGGCTGCTCAGCCTGGAGAAGAGAAGGCTGCGTGGAGACCTCATAACAGCCTTCCAGTATCTGAAGGGGGCCTATAGGGATGCTGGGGAGGGACTCTTCATTAGGGACTGTAGTGATAGGACAAGGGGTAATGGGTTAAAACTTAAACTTTAGATTGGATATAAGGAGGAAATTCTTTCCTGTTAGGGTGGTGTGGCACTGGAATAGGTTGCCCAGGGAGATTGTGAATGCTCCATCCCTGGCAGTGTTCAAGGCCAGGCTGGATGAGGCCTTGGGTGATATGGTTTAGTGTGAGGTGTCCCTGCCCACGGCACGGGGGTTGGAACTGGTTGATCTTAAGGTCCTTTCCAACCCTAACTATTCTATGATTCTATGATTAAGTCCGTGGTATCAGAAGGGACACATGGACATCTGAGGTTGCTGAGGGAGATGATGTCATTATGAGGCTGCTCACTATAATTTATGAAAGACTGTGGTGATCAGAAATTTCTGATAACCTGAAGGAAACAAATGCCATATCCATCTTCAGAGAAAGGCAATGAGAATCTTATGTTTATGCAAAGTAAAAACGTTCAAAATTATCTCTCTCTCCATAGAGGATTGATTTCTGAAAACATATTTCTAAGGATTCAAAACACATTGGGACCACCTTGAAAAGAAATCCCAGTAGCAGCAAGATTCAAACATGTACAGATTTCAGTATTTCAGCTTATGTAATTCAGGTTTCCTCTCTCCTGTAAGATAAAGCGGGCAAGAGGGGAGAAGAAAACAACAGAAAAATGAGTGTGTGTGTTAGGTAGGTAGGGGCAGAGAGAGAGTACAGAGAGAAGAGGAAAAGGGCAATAATAAGAAGGGGGCAGCGCCAGGCAGGGGTGTGAGGGAGGGAGTACAAAGGAGCACCAGCCCAGGTACCACACAGCAGCTTTGATGAATCAAGTAGCTGGGAACACGAGAAACAAATTGAGAAATTGACGTGATAGTCCTATCTGACTCATCCTTCCCAATGCTCAAGGCCTCAAAATCAGAAACCCATTCTCTCAACAACTTGCACAATACTCTAGCTTCCTCACTTGTCTAATACCCTTTTAATGCTATTTTAAACAAGGATCCTTAAAAAATATTTAGAAACTTAAACAGGGGAAGTTTAGATTGGATATAAGGAGGAAATTCTTTCCTGTTAGGGTGGTGCGGCACTGGAATGAGTTGCCCAGGGAGGCTGTGAATGCTCCGTCCGTGGCAGTGTTCAAGGCCAGGTTGGACGAGGCCTTGGGTGATAATGGTTTAGAGTGAGGTGTCCCTGTCCATGGGAGGGAGGTTGGAACTTGGTGATCTTAAGGTCCTTTCCAACCCTAACTATTCTATGATTCTATTCTAAATATGATAGAAAAAAGTTCACTGATGTGGCAGTAGAAAGGCACCAGAACTTCAGATTTTCAAGGCTTAGTTATAATGGGGAATTCTCCAGTGCCTTAAACACCTCTGGTTCAGAAAAACACAAAAAATAATTTAACCTGCCTTTGTCATAATCCTTATTTTTGGTTACAAATTCAGTGTTGTGTGCCTCAAAAATGTCAGTAAGATTCTGCCCTATAAATTCATATCTGTCAGTAGTGTCCATGTAAATGTCAGATCGTGAAGACAAACACAAATTTGTAAATGTTAAAGATATCAAGCCAAAGTAATGTTCTGTATCAGCATGTGCTTTTCTCATGTCTTTTCAAGCTCTTCACCTGACTTTGTTGTGTAAAATACACATTTTACAAGTTACGGGATGCTTTTAAACAACATTTTTTTACACTACTTAGCAGAAAAAAATATTATATAGTTCAACTTCCTTTTCACAGAAACAAAATCAGAAAATGAAGTAATATTTTAACAGAATAGTACATTTGGAAAGTTTTAATTTAAGTCATATTCTGTAGCTTAGAATATAAATTGTAATTAAAATACATATTTAATAGTTAAGAACGATTTAGTTCTGTAAAAAACTAATATCCTACTATACACAGAAAATGTAAATCAGTATAAATAAAACCTCTGTATTCTGAACTCTACCTCCTCCTTGGAAAAAATGAAGGTAAGGTCCAAAAAGTTCTGTATTAATACATAAATACTCTTTAGGCAAGTTTATGTACACACACTTCAAAAAACATGTTACCAACTAGAACATAAGCATGTATATAGCAAACATGCATATGGTCAGACTGAGACCTTTGGGTAGTCATGCTATTCTAATAAGTCCAAGCTGCAGTGTAGAAGTATGTGCAGTCTAATTACTAATGATACCCAGACTTCACTGCATCCCAGTAATACACACTTTGCTCTACACTACTGTTTATATACAGAGCTTATGCAATTATCTTCTACCTGGAAAACACTATTTATAAATTGTTATTAATTTTTTTAAGAAGCAAAGAAACAAAAAGGGACAAGAAGATACATGAATTAGTTTGAAACCTTAAAATATCCTACCCTGTTTACACATAGGTTAAAAGACTTCAAGATTAGAGACTTAGTTTCAATTCAGAAATTATTTGCTTTGTGGATTTACTTAGGCTTGGAATCAAATGAATAGAGACTTCAAAGAAATTTTGCCAAGCAGAGAAAAAAAAAAATCTCAAGAGTAATCAGGCCTGAATTTAATCCAGGGTTTAATCCATCTGACAAATGCAGCTTCTCAATGTCTAATTGCTATTAATTCAACACCAGGAAGAGCTTTTATTTCTCCCCAGTTCATTCAGAAATTCATGTTAACCACTGCACTGTATTATGAAGCCTGTAATTGTCTGTCAACAATGAGGGTTTCCTGATACTTGAAATATACTTAAATAATAGGGGAATCCTAAAAACCATATCTAATTATAATGGATCATTTGAATAAGGAAACGAGAGATGAGGAAAAAAAAGACTAGGATGATTTTTAATATCTAGATGTCTTCATTCAAGTTTATTTAATACATATACACAAATCTATTTAGAACCCCATTGCTAATATTTTCTATTGAAATAGTCACTGCATCTTAATTTTCAGGCATAAGGAGGGAGAATGACAGGCACTGTAATACTTTCTAAATGCCATGAGAAACAAGACATTTTGTCATAATGCCAGAAACACCTACAGATACAACATAATTTGTGACAGAACTTACTTTCTGCTGTCTGCAATATTATCTCATCAAGCTCTTTTTCAAGTTTTTCGTAAGTATCGAGCCTTGCTTGCAACTCAGAATTCTGTGTCTGAAGCTCAGTAATGCGTGTTTCACTAGAAGACTGAAGACTATAATATTCTTTAGTAAGCACCTGTGAGAATGAATAATGGAGAGATCAGGGAATCAGTATTACAGCTATTTATGAAAGAGGCAAAATATAATACATGTAAAATGCTTGGCAGTACGATACTAAATCTTTGATGAAACTTTTGCGCAGGAAAGATTTAAATACTTTAAAAAGCAGGTTTTTTTTTTTAACTACGTTATCTTGCACAGAATACACTCTCAGGTCATATCACTTATGCGTATCTCCTAAGGCCTTAGTAATTCCAATCTCTCCCTTGAAGAAGCTACAAGAATTTTAAAGGAGAATTATGAAAAGCACTATAACAGCAGTCAAAGAGTGTAAATTCATTTATTCTTATTGCATTCACATATCAGTTATCTATTTTAAAAATGAAGAGTCCTTTACAGAATGGTAAATACATGAATATAAAAATTTGGTGTTTAAGGTATATAAGATTCTAATTATTTACTTAAAATTCTTTGTTTACTTATAGTTGAATAATATTACTCAGTAATGAAAGGTAATATGCTTTATTGCTATTAAGATTTAGGACTAATGCTATTAAGATTCAGGACTAATGTAAATAGCAACCCACTGAGCTTAAACAAAAAAGCACATATTCAGAAACAGAAGTTCTGAAGGTCTTTATAAGAACTAAAGCTTGATACAGTGCTTGAAAATAGCAAACAGCATTGATAACAAAAATATGAGAAATCCAACTGGAATAAGAAAATTCTTGCTAAGTAAGTAATCTATATGCTTTGTAGAAAAATTCCCACCAGAACATGTAAAGTTCTGGTAATAACCAAGCAGTTCTGTAGCTAGGTTTAATATTAACTTCCCAAATGTAAATCCCAAACATTCAAGATGACAGTTGAATATAGATCTTGAGATCAGAAATATATGCATAGTGTATACAGCAGTAATACCAGAATCTGTCAAGAACACCAAAGAATGCACAATGCTTAGAGAATCAAACCACTCAAATATGAAAAGATTAGTGTCACAGAAGAATAAATGTATAGGTTAAAATTTGGCAATATACAAATTATCTGTTTCCTAGTTTTTCCATGCATAAGAAGAGAAACTATCCTGAAATCAAAATAAAACCAAGAGTTGCTTCACAAAGCCACTGTAGCTGAGCCACAAGATACTAGTAACTACACTATTAAGATCAATATCCTATTAGAAGAGTAAGACAAATCTTCTTAGTGCATTGATATTACATATAAGGAAAATTAAAAATTAAGAGTTCCGTCCAAAGGAATAAAAGTAAAAGCTTCAGACATCAAATACTTAAATTCTGCAAGAACATTTCTTAATGACAGAGCACTGGTTTCAAAGCGTCCCTTTAGAGAAAAGAAATGCCAGAAGTGTTAGTAGAACTGAATGCCAAACATACAAGATGTTACAAGATGAAATGAATATCCACAAAGAAACTGGAAATATAACAGATTAAACTATCTTATCAAAGTTTAGACATGTCTGTGCAATTAAAATTCTGTTTAGCAACCTCAAAGTCTAGGAAAACTGGCACTCCCAGTGCTCATGACAACTAACCTCATCAGCCAGGATCTGAATGTCCCAATACAGACAAAACAAGAAATTACATTTTATCTAGAACTCTCTAATTCTGTTTTCACTTTAATTCCTTTTCATAAACACCCTAGGCAGGTTCAGAACTAGAAATGCAGGGACTCGAAGAACAGCGTCCTTCCACAAAAAACAAAGGCTGCCATAGCTGGCACTTTGAAAAAAGGGGTTTTATTCTGTCCTGTCCAGTTTGTACCCTAACATTTGTTTAAGACATGCATGCTGCCAATCTCATTTAAATCTCAAAAATTGGACTCAGTGATATAATTCTGGGACTAACTTTGCACAGGTGAAGTATTTGGTTTTAAAGTAAGTTTGCTCTGCTAAATACTGGACACCCTTCCAATACTAAAATAGGTGAACAGAATATGATACATTTTTGAAAGTACATGTTTGAAAGATAATAAATTCTAAACTTATAGAGATAGAAGGGTCCAAGTCACTCAACTCTACAGCCCATGGAGGATCCCATGCCAAAGCAGCGGGACCTGCCCTGGAGGAACTGCAACCTCTGGAGAGCCCAAGTAGAAGCAGATTTTCTCCTGAATGAAGCTGAAGCCCTCAGAGGATTCACACACTGGAGCAGGATACAAGTGTGAGGAGGAAGAAGTGGCAGAGAGGAGCTGTTACAGATAGACCCAACCCTCAGTCCTCATCCCTTCCTGTGCTGTCTGGGGAGGGGAAGGCTGAAGAGTCAAAAATGAAGGAGGGAAATTAAACGGAGAAGAGAAAGGGGTGGGGAAAGGTGTTTTAGTTTTTCTCTTTGTTTCTCACCATCCAAATCTATTTCAATTGGTAATAAGTGAAGTTAATTTTCCCCAGGTCAAGTCTGTTTTGCTCATGATGGAAATAGCTAAGTGATCTCTGTATCTTTATATCAACTGACAAGCTTTTTCAGCTTATTTACACCCCATCCTCTTGAGGAGGGGGAATGAGAGCATGGGTGGCTGGCTGGCTGGCAGCTGACAAAGGCCAACCCACCACGATAAGATTAGCAATGTTAGGTCTTTTCAATGCATGCTCTCGACTTTTTTAGCTAGTAAAGATCTGTTCTGCAATTGTATATCAATAAAAAAGCATTTTTATTCTACAATAATGCTATTGCAAATTCTAGCTTTTAGTAATGATACTGAATTCACTGTATTCTTTCCCTACAATAATCACAAAGACTGACATAAGCAGCTTTATGATACAAGCATATATGTGAATGAGGTGCTACCTTCAACATCTCTCCATGAGAAATTGTTTTGCTTTCTTCCTCTCCCCTAAGTCTTGTTTTCCATTGAACTGGTCAAACTTAAGCTTCGTTATCAGATTCTGCTTCAGCAGAATTTGGTGGGGATACTACTTCAGCCATGTATGTTCTTTGCTACTTTTTCCCCACACTTTTCCATTTTACACTCTAATGTGTCTCTTTATATAACATACCTCCAGTTTTCTCTGGTATTTTTCACATTCCATTTGGCATTGTGAAAGATTCTTAGCTGTTTCTTGTTGCATGAGTTGTACATGTTCAGTTTCAAAGGATTTTAACTTACTTTGGTGAAGAAGTTCAGCTACTTTGCTTTCTGTGCCAAGCTGCATTTGTCTATACCTAAAAGAAAAAAAAAAGAAAAAAAAAAAGGGGGTGGAAAAAAAAGGAAAAAATAAATTTTGATGATTCAAAACCCCAAGATTAGAATATAAGCTAGTTCTGTCCATTACAGGTATAAATTTCAGAAGTTAATACAGTATTTCTAAGACTTTAATAGGTGTTAGTATGTTTCTCTATGTAACTATTGTAACCTGTATTTGAAACATCATTAGGAAAATTCAATACTATTGTAACAACGTAACACAGTATGGGGAAAACTCCATCCATAACTTTTCTGAATATGTGGTTAATGCACATTGAAATGGCAACAACCTTACATTATGCCTTATTTTTTAAACACGTTAGATCAGCGTAAACCTCCTTCTTGGTGCACAAATGGATGCACTTGAAGTCTTTTAATGGGAAAGATACTAAGGAGATACCATCTCTTGTCTTCACCATCATGTGTTATACATGATAAGGAAAGTGATATTAGCGCATCCCTTGGGATATCCCTTTGAGATATCACAGATACCACACTGTGTTTTCCCATATCCAAAGATATGAAGAAATGTCAGATCTCATTGGTGTATTAATTTCCACAGAACCACAGGTCCTTCTCGAAAAGCAGAGATTAAGTATATTTTTGAGAATACCACTATCAGGTAATTATAGGTGACAGATAAATAATATTCCACTTCGAAGTGGACTTCATTCATTGTACTCATTACAATTAACAGGCAATCTCAAAGAAGAGTGGTAAAAAACTTTGTTGATAGAATACTAAATTACTGGACAGCAGAAAATGAGGGTGATCTAAAGAAAAGAAGAAAGCCTTATGAATCTTAGCATTAAATAATTCAAAGGAAAGAGATGCAAAGTAAATCACAGGTTGTAAAAGTTATCCTAGCCATATGCATAAAAGGATGAACTCCTAGCTGACTGCTTTCATTCACAAGTGAGATCCTAGGGTATGCTAGATAAACCCATGAAAACTTTGATTCTGTTTTAAAAAATGTCAAACCCAACATTTTGGGAATTAATGTGAAAGCAGTAGAAAAAATACAGAAATCCCCACATCACAATTCCATGCTGTTGCCTGCACACCTGTCCTGGGTTTAGCGGTGAAGAGCAGCCGGACGGCCAGGTACCAGTCCACGGCCACGTCCGTCCCATCCTGCTGGAGCCTGCCCATATTACAAGTCATTGCCATAAAGTACAGTGAGACAGAAACCTTAGCCCAAGCCCCACACTTGATAAACACTAACACAGCAAATACCAGGTCTAAGTAATATACTACATTCTGAAGCTGTGAGATCAAGAGGAACAACTCTGAGAGCCAATAAATCAGCATTGTGACGAATGAATATCAATCGGGTCAGATCTGTCGTTATCTCAACCCCTTGTGCCCCACGTTGGGCGCCAAAAAGAACTGTCGTGGTTTAACCCCAGCCAGACAGCTTGTGCACTCACTCCCCCCCTTCTTGCCCTCCCCCTACCCCTGGAGGGACGGAGGGGAGAACCGAAAAGAATGCAACTCCCACAGGTTGAGATAAGAACAGTTTAGTAACTGAGGCATAGCACAAATCACTACTGCTACCACCAATAATAGTAATGATAAAGGAAATAACAAGGGAAGAGAATACAACACCTCATCACCAGCCAACCGATAACTCGCCCCCTCCCAGCCTGACCAAGCACCGACCGATACCTCCTCCAACCCTGCAGTCCACCTAGCCCTTCCGGGTAACTCCCAGTTACCTCCTGGGCATGATGTGCTGTGGTATGGAATACCTCTTTGGTCAGTTTGGGTCAGGTGTCCTCTCTCTGCTTCCTCTCTGCTTCCCTCCTCCCTGGCAGAGCATGAGGCTCACAAAGTCCTTGGCCAAACCAAAACATCATTTTTATCAGCTCTGTTCCCAGCCCCAAAGTCAAAACACAGCACTGCACCAGCTACCAAGAAAGATGACTGCTACTGCTAAACCCAGGACAACCCGAATGCTGATGACCTTTCTAGTACCTCATCTCACAAGGAATTTAATAGAACTCGTAAAGCATCAGGGAAGGGTAACAAGGATCACCTTTGATAACCAGCAACAGCATGCGCTTATACATTTACACTGTGAGGATGAAATTGCTTAAGCAAGCTAGGGCTCTACAGCTTGGAAAAGAGATGGCGTAAGGACAAGGAAGAAGAGAGACCTCTAACATCATGAGGGGAATGAAAAATGAGAATAGGAATCAATTGTATCTTCCAGTACATGAATGAGAAGGCATCTAATAAAGCTAGCAGATGCAGAACGAAAACAAATAGAAGTCATTCTCCAAATAAGATGCTGTGGCTGCTAAAAGTTAACACTTACTCAAGAGGATACTTAACAAACAAAGTAGAGAAATCCTTTGACAACTATTAAATGCAAGACGGCACTTCTCACACAGAAGTCACTTAACTACAGATTGTCAGAACTGCAAATAAACCTTTACTCTAACCCAGCACTGCTGTTAAGTTAGCTGACATTTGTTAAATAGCAGTTGCAACAACTACAATTCCATCCTATTTAGCAGCTGATCTTTAGGTGGGATTGAGAGGGTTTAACAAAACAAAGGGATTACTTCAAATATTTCTCTGAGGATTTCAGATGTAGGAATGTTTCTAAGGCAGAAAGAGGAAGCAATTTTCACTGGAATTAACTGGAACGGAAGAAACAGGTGTCATTATGATGCCTTTTATACTCACTCTGTAGACATCCGTGTACGAGTAAACAGTCCAATGTATGAATGAGATTGTTCCCACACAGGCTGCATGAGCAGACATTGGAAATTCTGCCTACTGAGCTCAGGAAAAGGTTGCTCTTTTTATGAGAGTTTTCTTTTTCAATATTTGTTTTCAAACAGTTACTGCACTCAAACTGCTAAATGCCAATTATCTATCAGATTATTGAGTACTGCTGTCAATTTTGCTTGAGGATGCTTTTCAAGTGGTGATACTTAAAGTATTTCATCACTGCTGACTGTATGTTTCTATTTTTATTTTACCACACAAAAATAGTTTCAGCACTCTCACATTCTCCACACTCTGCAAATGATTGGCTGCAGACATGACACTAAATCTGTTCTGTTGTACACATTGTTTACAATCCTGGGAAGACTGCTCTGTTCCGAAATGAGTAAGTCCTCACAAAGATACGTGTCATCCAGCCAACTGATGTGCAATGCCACACACAAACAAAATTTATCTAAAAGTAGTATTTATTGACTGTCAACAACATACTTGTATCTTCTGCCTTTACACAAAATAAACAGCAATGCCTTCCTGTACACAGCTTCAGACCTTAAATTAGTCTGAGGTTCAATGGCCTGTTCTGTGCAGAATTTACACACTGGACACATGCATAAACATAGGCCAAGCATGCTTTTCTGGACCTATTTTCTATACTTTCTGGAAGAGTCCATAGTTCTCTGATGATTTTGTAAATCTACTCAATCAGGTGTTTCCCGAGTGAGCTTATCAATCCAATCACGAACAGTAACTTCAGAAAAACTTCGTCTACTTTATTTTGGAAATCTGAAGAAGCTTACATATGCATGACCTGTTTTGTACGGGCAAGGTTATGAAGGGTCGGTTTTCTTTTGACTTCAGTATACAGTCGAGCTTATTAGTAACTCCCCCACTGTATCACCATTCATAGTTTCTGTGTCATATTTGCTTTTACTTGGCCAGATAGTATCTCTGGTTTCTTGGCTACTATTTCAGCACAAATGTGTGTGCATGTGTGTACAGAGTCATGTAACACAATGTCAAAATACATTCCTTAATCTGCCTAGATGGTCTCTAAGGGAAAACAAAAGAAAACAAAACCAATCCATGCTTTAATATTATTATTATGAAAAAAAAAAAAAAAAAAGGAATGCAGGTGTGCAGGATTTTTCTCCACCAAGGAATTTTAGCAAGCTTTATACAATGAAAGAGTAGAGGTTTTTGTCTCACAGAAAAATGAGGGCTCTGAATGAAAAAGAAACTACAGACTGAGCTAATGAAAAAAATGGAAAAAGGCTACATGTAAGAATAATCTGGAATGAGGTCTCAATTTCAATATGCCTCTGTGCCATTAGGATGACCAGTCAATAATACCTGAATTTTGCTCGAACAGAGCAGCCCAACAGTTACCAAAAAGATTATTGCTGAAGTAGAAGAGAGGATATTCAGAGAGGGACTTAAATTCTGTCTTGCAAGGATGGTATTAAGATTTTTTTTAATCAGAGTAATCTGGTTTTGCAAATGGTGGAAACAATATAACAACTTTTCAAAATGTGCACACAGTGACAGTAAACTGAAAGATTTCATGGTAAAATCATGTATTAATCTGTATACTGAAGTATGGCAGCCAAGTGTTTTTTTGAATGGAGCAACTACAAACCACATCCAGCACAACATAATCTAATACTGATATTCAGATTTTTATCATACATGTGTGATTTACGTAACATATTCAACTTTTTATAAGAATTCCGTAAGTACTGAGATAGTAACCCTAATCCAGTCTTACCTAACAGAAACTTACCATTGTCTATCCCGTTGACAAAACCCAAGCAGTACTCCTCAAAAGTGTAACTGAACAATAAAGTAAATTAGAAGACAATTCTTGCATTCAAGAAGCAGCAAATGGTACCATTAAGCTTATTAATAGGAAAGATTGCCAATCAGGAAATACAAATAACACCTTGTGAAGGAAATCCTACCAAAAGAAAAAAAATACCACCTCTTTTTCTTTTTGCAAACATGATTATATTAACCTAAAGCTCTTTCATATATACTTTAAACATTATTTTCAAGTTTAAAAATGGAAAAAACCCCTTTAAGTTGTGAAATCATCCTGACTCTATAGATGGGTCAGTTCCGGATCTAAGATATCTAGAGTAATTACAATAAACTCTCCTATTTATACAAATGTCTTTGCTTTAGTTCAGTGCCAAATTTGCAGAGAAACCCAAATGCTACAGACATTTCCTCCCTAACCTAT